GGAGGAGTGAGGAGGGGACGGGGAGCAGTGAGGAGGGGACGGGGAGCAGTGAGGAGGGGACGGGGAGCAGTGAGGAGGGGTGAGGAGATGCGGGAAGGAGGCTGACCGCGCCCCCGGGGCCCCCTTCTCCCCGCACCCGCAGGACGTACTTCTTGAGGGTGCTGAGCAGCGGGTCGGGCTCCAGGCTGTCCGGCACCTGCACCATCTGCTCCCGGCTCAGGCGGATGATGTCGCACAGGGACTGGGACGCATTGGAATGTTGCTGGGGGAGGAGCAGAGGTGAGGACCCACTGGCCCGACTGCCTCTCAGGGACAGACCAGGTGCCAAGAACAGAAGGACACATGAACCACGGGGTGTGTGACAAGGGAGGTGCCACGGAGGCACCTAACAAACCAGAGGTGCTCGGAGGACGGGGACGTTGAGTAAAGCTCACTAGAAACAGGCGTCCCACACAACACCCACGCACACACGCACCCAGCACCAGCACTCACACCACCAGAGGCAGGGCCGCCACCCAGGGGCCCGTCCATATCACACCACCACAAGGCAGGGCTGCCCCAATGCCCATCCATGGCTAAGCAGAGAGAGCAAAGGGGCCTGACTGCACATTACAATGTCACAAGGCAGGCCCGCCCAGATGTCCATCCACGGACTAGTGGGTATAAAGCCAACATGCTTGTCCATATAACGCAACATCCCTCAGCTGAGGAAGAGCTGGAGTTCTGACAGCTGCTCAGACTCAGGTGAACCTTGAAAACACGCTCAATCAGACCAGTCAGACACGGGACCACACACTGCATGACTGCACTTGCACACGTGCTCACACGTTTACACAGCACGTCCAGAGTAGGCAAATGGAGAGACAGAAAGCAGACCCCACGAGCAGCCCCACGCCCCCTGGGCCCAGCCACATTTCAGAGCCCCCACCAGCACTCCAGGAATGAAGTCAACTGACTGTTCACAGCAGATGCCCACTCCCACCTGGGGAAGAGGCCTGGACAGGCAGCCCTCTGCCCCCAGGCAGACGGCAGGCAGGCAGGACGGGGGACTGGATGCAGGAGTGGACGCAAGGGTGTGCTAAGAGCCAGGTCCCTGCTCCGCAGGCCTGCCGGCCACCTGGAGGCTGGGGCTGGCATGGGGGTCTGAGGCAGGGGGCCACAGGGGGCAGAGACCCGAAGTCAGGAGGCCAGACAGGCCGTCACAGAGGATGCCCAGGACAGAGAGGCCTGTGGGGCGGGGCACTTTGGGAAGGGTTCAGAGGGTTCAGCTGGCAGAGAGCCGGGGAAAGGAGAGCCCTGGTCATGAGTGTCAGCACAGACAGGTGGGAGGGCCAACCAGGCCAGCCCCCAGGAAATGGGGGTGTACTGCACAGCAGCCTGCAAGCAGGCGCGGAGGTGCTGAGCTGGTGGTGACTGGCAGCCCGAGTGAGTGGGGTCTGGGAGAGCAGGTAGGGCCTCAGAGGAGGGCTCCATGCCCGGGACGGACAGGCTGGAGCCTGGGGTTAGGGGTCTTCTGGGACGTTAGTCAGATTTCTGCCTCATCACAGGCTTACTGTGCCAACTTTCCAATTCACGAAAGCAATGTCTCGCATGTGGAACCGTTTTCTGTCACACGGCGGACGCACACAGATGCGTATGTCCTACCCACTTCCTCTGCCATCAGCAGGGGAAACAGCTGGTGAGAAGCCTGAGTGTGAAGGGAAGAGGCTGGCAGCCAGGGAGGCTGGGGCAGCTGGGGCCAGGGCCCAGGACAGAGGAGAGCGGGCTGGGGCGGCCGCACGCTTACATTGTCGTCTTTGGACGGGTGGATCAGCTCTATCAGCCTCTGCACAATCTTCTCCTCGTTGAGCCACTGAGGGAGGGTCAGGACACGGGGATTAACAGTGGGCCCGCCGCCCCGGGGTGGCCCAGGCCCTGCAGGGCGGGCGGGGCGCGCTCACGTTGACGACGTCGTGCCGCAGCTGCGGCCGCTCCACGCAGGTGAGGAGCCTCAGCAGCAGGTCCATGACGGCCGAGGTGCCGATGTGGCGCAGCAGCAGCTCCACGAAGTCGTCCTTCTTGCGCAGGAAGGACACGAGCTGGGAACACAGGGTCAGTCACGCGGGGCGGGCGGCCGGGCCTCCCCGGGTTCCCGCGGCAGCAGCAGGCGGCACCTGGTCGGTCTTGCGGTTGATGAGGATGCCCATGACCTTGCTGAAGAAGCTGGCCAGCAGCGGGTTGAGGCTGCCGCTGCTCTGCAGGAAGCCGTAGAGGCGGTTCAGGAGGGACTCGTCGGCGCCCAGCGCATCGTTGATCTGGGGCACGTCCGACGTCAGGATCTCGCACGCCACGCTCGGGTACCTGGAGAGCACTGGTTCAGGGGGAGCGGGATGCACAGCCGCCACACCCACCACCAGCACCGCATCCACCTGACCCGGCAACCAGCGCAGGGCAGGCTCGGGGAGGTGGGGGCCCGTGTCCAGGAGGGGCGGGCAGATGAAGCCAGCAGGTCCTGCTCTTCCGACTCTGCAAGCTCCGAGCCACCTGCCTCCCGTACCCTGGCTCCCTCAGTGTCCCAGGGACCCTGAACACCAGCCTGGCCCCTGCCTGCTGAGCCTGGCCATGGCTCCCATCATCCCGAGACGGCGTGTGACCGCCTCAGTTGGGTTCTCAGGCCCTTTATGGGCTGACCCCTGTCTACTTCTAATAATGTCACCCACAGCCCGTGTGCTGGGGGACACAGAAGTGAACTCGCTGGAAGACCAAGGGGCGCACAGGAGCAAACACGACTGACGTGTTGGGGACCAGGGGGTGCACAGGAGCAAACACGAGTGACCCATTGGGGATGGGGGGTCACACAGGAGCGAGTGCGTGTGATCTGCTGAGGACCAGCGGGGATACAAGATCAAACATGTGACCTGCTGGGGACTGGGAGCCTTACAAGAGTGAACACGTAGGACCTGCTGGTGACCCGGGGGCCTTACGAGAGTGAGCGCACATGCCCCGCTCGGGACCACAGTGGCAGGTGCCCAGGCAGAGATCTTGGTGGCCGGCAGCACCAAGATGCCGGTGGGCTCTGAGGGAAAGCCTGGGGCAGGGTGGCAGGGACTCACTTGTAGCGCAGACGCTCCTCGCCACTGGCCGGGGGCTCCTGGGTGACCCAGGCCACCATGGCCTGCAGGTGGGGCGGCTGCAGCAGGAAGTCGAGCAGCTTGCGGTTGACGACCTTGCACTCCTGCAGCACGTCCTCCTCATCCAGCAGCTCGGGCAGGCTCAGGTCCTCCCGCTCCAGCAGCGTGTCGATGTGCGAACTCGTGTGCAGGTCAAACTTCCAGAACATGGCGCCCTGCGGGCACCAGGCCAGCTCAGCACCCACGGCGAGGGCACAATGCACGAGGCCCTTCCCAGACCAGCCCCGACCCAGCAAGCCGTAGTCCCCACCAGGGGGGTCCCAAGGCCTCCTGCCAGGGCCTGGCCCTCCCGGGATCCCTGCTCACACACAGGAGGCCTCACTGTCGCCTCAGCCTCTTCCAGCCCACCCACCACCCCTCCGCCTGCTGCGGCACTGACCGCCTGGAAGACCACCGCAGCGTCGGTGGCCTCCTCAGCCCAGGCTCATTCCCCAGCCCACACTGACTTGGCACTCCCAGGCTAAGGGCCCTGGGTATGGCCCACACCCTGGGAGTGGCCTCAGGTACCAAGTCAGTGGGAGCCCCATGTGCCCCCATCTGGGCAGGACAGACTGAGGGCACGAGCATCAGATCAGCTTCCATCTGTATTTGCTGAGCAAATTCAGACGCCCTGTGATGGCTAGCGCGGCTGCTGCCCAGCCCAGCAGACACCCAAGGTCATGTGTGGGGCAAGGAGTGGCCCTGTGACGTCTCCAGGCTGTGGCCGTTGCCTGGACACTACACACCCACACCCACACCCCACCCCCGTGTGCACCAGCGCACCCTGCCCCTCCTTGCCCAGGCCAGGACAACAGCTACTGCCCAGGACCCCAAGGAATCCGGGAGTGGACAATGCCTCTCTGGGGGCACCCCTTCAACCCCACCCCAGGGGAAGTGACACCCAACCTTGGGGACGAAGCTTCAAGACGGTTCCAAACAGCCCTCCCAGATGAATAGTGCCAACAGACTGGTGACTGCATATCCACTGTGGGCCTGTCACTTCACACAACACCAGATCCTCCTGACTACACTTAAGAGGGGACTGTCACCACCACACAGGCCTGGGCCAGTCAGGCCTCATCCCAGTACCACACGCCCCAGTCTGCTGAGGTGGAGGACACCCTCCTGAGGTGCAGCCAAGGACCCAGAGGGACGGCCCACGGGCTCGTCACAGCGCACGCGGCCTCTGCTATGGCTCCCAGATGCTGTCCCCTTCCACATGCCCCTCCCCGGACACAAGGTGACCATGGCCACCCCACAAGGCGTCACCATCCACTGTGTGCAGGCCTCCACGACCCTCCACCCCAGAGGGCGAGCCCAGAACCTCTGACGTTCCCCCTGACGGGGCACACAGCCAGCTGAGACGCAGTGGGGCAGGGCCAGGGCCCCAAGTGAGGGCTCTGCAGCCCACGTGTCCCCAGCCCTGGCTCAGAGCCCCTCCTCCCCCACACCCACCTGCAAGCCTGGGGGCTCCCTTCAAAATGCCGTCGGCCTTGCCTGTGCCTCTGCTGACTGCCAGCCTCGCTCACCCATCTCCCCGACAGCTTGGCAGATCTGGGCGGCCGGAGGATGGAAACTGTGACCTTGAAGGCCCTCTGTCCCCTCAGTCCTGCCTCACTGCTCCCACTTCACACATAACTCTGCCCACCCAGCCTCCAGCCTGTCCTGGCTGAGCCCACCGCCTCACGCCCTGCGCGGGCCCACGCTGCGCGCTCTCCCGGCCCTGCCTCTCTCGCACTGGGCTGCGGCTGATGCCCGTGGTCCCGCCCCCCGCAGCCTCCCAGGTACAGGCCTAGGGCCCCGTGCTCCCAGCCCAGGTGAGCTCCCACGCAGCCCCTCCACGGCGTTGCCCCTCATCTGGTCTTCCAAGGGGTGTCTCCTTCATGGCCACAGCCCCAAGAGCTCCCGCTGTGTTGTTTTGCTGCCCCCAGCACAGGGCCTGACACACAGGGGCCTCACGTGGCTGAAGGGTGGGCACTCGCCCCCCAGAGCTCACCAGGTAGGCCATGGTGGCAAACACCGTGGCTACAGCACCCCGATCAACTGCCTAAGGATGTCACGTCACCGCGTCCCGTGACCTCCCCCAGGGAAGGGACAGCTGGCCCCGCTTACAGATCAAGGCACACTCGACACGAAGCCTCTGCTGAGGCCCAAAGCAGCCAGGGAACTGCGTCTGGTGCGGGCTGAGGGCCGGCACGGCCCAGGGACGGTGCCCGGTGCACGGCTGGGGGCCAAGCCCACGGACCACCCTTGGAACATGACTGAGACCTGGGCCTGTGTGGAGCTTGAGGCACATCTCTGGGGTGACGGAGTGAAGGAGTGAGGGGAATCATGAGTCTCCCAGCACCCCCTGCGCCGCCGCTTCTGGTACCTGACACGCCCGTTGCGGAAGCAGTCCGGCTCTGGTGGACAGCAGCCCAAGCCTTAACAAGCTTTCCCGCCCGCCCTCTACCTCAGGCCACAGGCTGACCCCATCACGGACACATCAGGTACCTGAAAGCCACTAGGCCCCAAATGCCTCCCCAGCCTGACCCGGCGGCAGCAGGGCCTGCCACCCACCCTACACCGCATGAGCACACACGTGCAGGGCTCAGGGAGGAAGGATGGGGTCCCAGGCCCCTCCCTCACACGCCAGCCCGGAGCCATCCTGCTCCAAATGCAGGCCCAGGCGCCAGCAGCACACACTTGATGACACACCATGGCCTGTCCACGCCCACGCCATCACTCGGCCCCCACCCCAACCAGCACACCTGTGGCTCAGACCACCAAACCCAGGGGCCTCTGAGTCTCCCTGGCCCCCTACCCATCCCCCTCCCTCACCAAAGTCTACCCCCTTTCCCTGCCCCTGCACGACCAGACCCCAGGTCTCCCCTGGGCCTCTCTACACACGGCAGCCTGACAGACCCTCACCTGCAGCTCAGGTGACACTGACCCCTGATGGCTTCCCACAGCTCTTAGCCGTTCCGGCTGCACTGGGACTCCCAGGAGGCCAGCCCCGTGCGCTGGAACGGCAGCCACCCCACATCCACGCTCCCGTGGAACGACTCTGACCCTGCAAACAGACGACGCCCCCCACCCCGTCCCCGTGAGCTTTCCGAGAATGACACTGGCACAGAAGCTGGGGCACCACGCCCTGCCCACCACACTCCTCACCAGGCCCCTGCCATGCAGAGAGCGCAGAGGTCTGTCCAGTCAGGTAACATGAAATCGCGCCACCAGAGGGGCTCCCTCAATCACAGGGAGGGGGGAGAGAGGGCACCGTGCGCAGGGAGACCAGCGAGCAGAGCCACGGGGGGGCTGGGTCTGTGGGGGCCAGCGTCCCTGTGCGGGTGACAGTGAAACCCGGACCGCTTCAGGAGAGAAGCAGCGTCCCCGACGTCCTCTGCGGACCCCAGACACGCTCGCGGGACCTACCCACACATCCACCTCGCGGGGTGGGAAGGGACAGAGCAGGGCCAGCCAGCAGGTGTCAGTGTCCCAAAAAAAGGCACTTACAGATGGGCGGGGGCGGGGGTCCCCGTCTCCACAGGGGCCAGAACACCCACCCCAAGCTGCTGCCCAATCAGTGTCGACTCTGCCAATTCCCTGCCAACACTGGAGATGGCATCTGTCCCGTGGCAGGAGAAGAGACATCGGGATGGAGAGCCAGCACCGTCAGTCACAAACGCCAAGGTTCAGGTGACTGGTCCTGCCTACTGACCCCGCACAGAGAGCAGATCAGGGGCTGCCGGGGGGCGAGGCAGTGAGGACTGAGTGCTATGGGCGCAGGGCTTCATTTCTGGGGGATGAAAATGTTCTGCAACCGCCCAGAGCTGGGGCCACACAAGGCCAGGGGACAAATGGCACGGAGCTCCAGGCCCGGCTCACCCCAGAGCGGACCAGATGCTGGGCACAGCTGAACCACAGGAAGGGTGCACCAAGATCACCCTTTCTCCACCCCTCACTGTCCACATCCCTGAACGAAGCCTCCCCCCTCCACAGGGGCAGAGACGAGAGACGCCTGGAGAACCCACGTGCCTGCACCTGGCATCTCACTGCACCCTGTCTCTCTACGAGTGAGCCATCGTTATCCCATTTCCCAGAAGTGGAAACGGGGGCCCCAGGGTGGCGCTCCGCGAGGTGGAGCCAGGACTCTGCTGCATAGCCCCGCCTCTTCAGGGAAGGTGGCCGTCCACAGCTGAGGCCTGCCCGTTTCTAAAGCACCCGGGTCCTGGCACAGGCTACCGCCTGCAGCCCAAACCTTTCACCTCGCCCCACCTTCCCAGCTGCCTACGGAGCCCAGCTTTCCAGAGAGCACAGTGGGTCCAAAACAAAGCAGGGTGTGCGGGCAGCGGGGGGTGCTGGGAAGGAGGAAGCCGAGGTCCAACCTCAGTGGCTCCCCTAAGCACCAGAGGCACCGGAAGGCTTCCACTCAATTCTGGGCTCAGACATCGGGGCTCTAAACAGAGACGAGGCAACTACAAACACGCTGGGCCGTGCGCGTCGGAAAGCTGGAGGCACACTCCCTCACCCCACTCAAGTCTCGGGTCCACGGAGTTGGGGGCGAACCTAGGCCCGGCACGCAGCACGCAGCATCTCCAAGCCTCACTTCCCCCAGCTGGAAAATGGGCACACCCGCCCTCCAGAGGGGCCGCCGAGGTCTGGGCCTCATGGCAGCCGCTTCCCTGGCCTGTCGCTGAGACCACAATCCTCCAGGTGGCACATGGCAAGGGGGGACAGAGCAGAAGCCAGCCACCACCCCAAGGGTGACAGTGTTAAAGAGACGGGGAGAAAGGTCAGCTCCCCACCTTACTAAGCAACACTAAGACTTCTCTGCACCCCCACCCCCACCCTCTGCAACTTTCAGCAGCTTCTAGAAAGCGGAAGTGACCACCAATGGTTTTCAGCAGCCGTTTGAAAACCATGACTCCGGCTACAAACGGAAACTGCGATTTGTAAACGAGAACGGAAGCACGAAACACACTCGCTCTGTGGTCCTCCCTCTGAATCCTCACCATCATCTCTCGCTCCGCCTCCTGCTGGGGGGCCAAGCCCTTCGACACCAGCTGCCTCCCTGCCCCAGAGGCGTGGGCCCTGCCCTGGCTCAGGCCAGGCCCAGGTGCCACCTGCCGAAGAACCGGCCACCAGCCGCCACCACCGTCATCCAAATACAGCTCAGCGGCCAAGGAAG